TGAAGTGCAAGCAAGACCAGCTCAAGTCTCTGCTCTTGCAATTCAAGGACAGCTTCTCGTCATCATCACGAATTAAACAAACCCTAGTTGCGAAGCATCACATCATAACAGAAGAAAGTGCCTGACCAGTTCGACAAAGCCCGTACCGAGTCTCTACGCGTAAACGCGAAGCCGTGAAGAAACAAGTCGACGAAATGTTCCCGACGAAATGCTATGCGACGACATCATTTAGATATCCAAGATTCCATGGGCGTCACCCGTGGTATTACTGAAGAAAAAGGACGGCACCCTATGTATTTGCAACGATTACCGCCGCCTGAACAAAATCACAAAGAAAGAAGTGAATACTCTCCCACGTACAGACAACACACTAGACAGTCTCCACAAGGTGAAGTACTTTTCTTCGATGGACCTAAAAACGACCTATTGGCAAATTGAGGCTGACGAGAAAGATCAAGAGAACACGGCCTTTATCACACCAGACGGCCTCTTTGAGTTTAAAGATTGTGCCATTTGGTCTTTGCTCGGCGCCTGCGAAGTTCCAGCGCGTTATGGACACCGTGCTGGCTGGATTGAAATGGCAGACTTGGCTCGTGTACTTGGATGACGTCGTCATATTTTCCTCTAGCTTCGACGAGCATCTCAGGTGCCTTGAAGTGGTACTTCAAGCTATCAACACCTCTGGACTAACCCTAAGCCAGAAAAGTGCCGCTTCGCATACGAGAGAGAGAGACGAGAAAAAAGGAAGGCAGAGAGGTTAACCAGAGGCTAGTATCCGGTATGCTACCCTACACTGATGTTGGGGAATAGTGGGTTGAAAGAGAAAGGGAGAGTTAAAAAAGGCTTCGCATACGAGTAGCTGTTATTCCGGTGCACCTGATTAGCAAGTCTGGAGTCCGTCCCGACCCGCGGAAAACATCTGCCATCGCTGATTTCCCGCAGCCCACTGACAAGAAGGCTGTACGCCGATTCCACGGATTGTGCAATTATTACAGGCGTTTCGTCAAACGTTTTTCACAGGTAGCCGAGCCACTAACTCACCTCACGAAAAGCAATGTCAAATTAAGGTGGGAAACGGCACCAGAGGAAGCATTTCAGGCACTTAAACGCCGCCTCCAAACACCACCGATTCTTGCGCATTTGGACGAATATGCTGAAACAGAAGTGGACATGACGCAAGCAGCGTAGGACTCAGCACCGTCCTTGTGCACAGGACTTTCGGCGTAGAAAAGGTTATCAGTTATGCTAGCCAGTCACTATCCAAGGCCGAGGCCAACTATTCCACAACAAAAAAAGGAGTGCCATGCCATCATCTGGGCAGCGTCAAAGTTTCGCCCCTACCTCTACGGCAGGCCTTTCAAAGTTGTGAGCGACCACCATGCCTTGTGTTGGCTAGGTAACTTTAAAAGACCCCTCGGGTCGCCTTGCACGATGAAGCCTGGGACTTCCAAGAATTCGACAAGACCGTCGTTTACAAGTCTGCAAGAACACACTCTGACGCCGACTGCTTGTCTCGTGTCCCCATCAAACCAGCGCTGCCCGACGGCCGGGATGAGGACAGCTTCTTAGGAACAATAACTGCCGACGACTTCGCCGAGCAACAGCGAGCGGACCTGGAACTCTGAAGCCTTGTGGAATACCACGAGGGTAGCAGCATGACTATTACAAATGTCTTAAAGAGAGGACTGGAGTCGTTCTTCTTATGAAACAGCGTTCTCTTAACAAAGAACTTCTCGCCCCTTCGAGCCGACCACCTTCTCGTGGTTCCTTCAGCAGTGAGACCAGAAATACTAGATGCCCTACACGACGATACGACGGCTGGACACCTTGATGTTTCTCGTATGCTCGCAAGAATACAAGAAAAGTACTACTGGCCATGACTATCGACCGACGTCACTCGCTACGTCAGCCCCTACCGCGACTGCCAACGACAATAGACACCGCCGACTAGGCCAGCCGGACTTCTCCAGCCCATCGAGCCAACTTGCCGGCTGTTCCAGCAAATCGGCATGAACTTAGCGGAGCCATTCCCGACGTCGAATTCCGGGAACAAATGATTCGTCGTAGCTACTGACTACCTCACATGCTATGCCGAAACAAAGGCCCTCCCCAAGGGAAGTGCCTCCGATGTAGCAAAGTTCTTCGTCGAGAACATTGTTCTGCGTCATGGAGCTCCACAGGTTCTCATTAATGATAGAGGTACAGCCTTTACTGGGGACCTAACTCAGGCGATTCTGAGGTACAGCCAGACAAGTCACCACCGCACCATCGCCTACTATTCACAGACCAACGACCTCCCCGAACGTCTTAATAAGACCATCGCTGATATGCTGGCTATGTACGTCGACGTCGATCACAAGACGCGGGATGAAATTCTCCCGTACGTGACCTTCGCATACAATACAGCCGTCGAAGAAACAACGCAGATAATGCCATACAAGTTGGCCTACGGAAGGAGCCCGGCAACGACACTTGACGATATGCTTCCAACTGTCGCTGACGAAAAGAACCTCAACATCACCATTTACCTTTAGCGCGCAGAAGAAGCTCGTCAACTTGCTCGCCTACGCATGAAGAATCAGCAGGCCACCGACAGCAGCCATTGCAATCTGGGACAAAGCTTCGTTAAGTACCAGCCCAGGAGACCGTGTCTGGGTTTGGACGCCCATACGCCGACATGAGCTCAGTGACAAACTTCTGTGACAGTACTTCGTACATAGTATTTCGACTACAAGGTTGTTCCCAACAGCATTACAAACTCTCAAAGGCGCCGTGCTCGACCTGAACTTGTCCATGTCGTGCGCTTTAAACCATTTCATGCGCGAACCTGAGGACTGCATTTGGCTGTTGTTGCTGTACTTATTGTTTATTGTCTTTATTATTTTACCTTCGTCTTTTGTTAAGGCACCAAAATAATGCCCTTTTCAAAGGGGGGCAATGCCACGTTACTTTCCTCAAGTTTTGTTAACACCTGTTACACTACGTTCAGCGCAAACCGCGCCTATGATGTTCAAGAAGCTTCGAGGCTTTAGTAGATCGTTTTGTTAAGATTACGCCCACTTCGGGAACCTCACAGATTATTCGGGAACCTACGTCACCGCTAGCCATAACGCTAGAATATTCGATGGCAAAGGTATAAATGCCGACATGCTTCGCCGCTTGTCAGTTGATTGACGGCCGACGCTCCGTTAGCCGCTATCAGTGCAAAACTGCTGCTGTAATCCGACTTTTCGTTTACTGGGCACAGGTTCGCCCAAATAAACAGCTTATTATTCAACTTGCAGTGTGCTCCATTTATCCACGTCAGGACCCCGTGACGATATAGTGTTTTTATTGCACTGTTTACCAGCTGACAACCAAAAATTACACACTTATCACATTTTTATTCATTTTAAAATTTTTTCGTCGCTTTACAACATATATTTTTTGAAAAGAGTACTTCATTGTGCCAAATTCGGTATGCTGCAATGCGTGCTGGCATACTTTTCAAACTTGTGAAAACTATTTTCCCGAGACATATGAAAAATAACCATTTTTGTGTGGTAACAAAAGGGAATCTGATGATGCGCATACACGCCACGTTCAAGTACGAGATTAGACACAAGGGCTTGTGGCACATAACCCGAGCCATGATAAAAAGTCTCAGAGGATGAGCTGTCACTGTGCGTTCAGGCTTTGAACTGCAAAGATCATGAAAGTCAGCTTTGCTACAGCAACGAAAGCAGTAACTGCCCGGTTCTGAAGGCTATTGGCGGAGAAGCCCGTGGAGTGGCCGTCAGTCTCAGAAGAGTCAAGTGCGGCAGTACAGCTCTTCCACTTCATGCCAGAACGGTTGCTGCCCGCACCACAATCATGATACCATTGACAAGTTAGGCTTAACCGAGCTGAGTCAAAGACGATGAAGAAGAGCAAGACACCGGCTAAAAAGAAAAACCGCTCATTGGGCAGAGGCAAATGATGTTGACGTTGGAGCTTGAAGAAGACATCGATGACAGAGTCGAAGAACCATCCAAATGACAAGGGCACGGAGTTCACGTGAGAACATGACGAAGACACAAAGAAAAATAAATCGTAAGAAAAATTTCCGAAGCACCCACCGTGATTCGAACCAGTAATCCCTCGCTTCTCAGCACGCTGTATTAACCAATTAGGCTGCGCTGCTCATGCTATCCATCTCACTAACGGCGAGCTATATATATATAAACCATTTGCCACTGGCTTACTGTCAGTGGACATGTAGCTAGGTGGTCATTATTCTAAAATTTTTGTTTATTCCTGTGGTGCATTTTTCGATAACTCACAGTGCAAGAAGGATGAAGAGGCAGACACAGCTGTCAAGGATAAGACAATACGATCGCTGGAAAAATGAACTCTTATCAACTAGCCCTGATTTCCCTTCTTATTCCTGTGGTGATTAATTATCACCTGATTCTTAGGAAAATTAAATTTTTTATATTAACCACCCGTTTCATGGCCAATCCCTTGTGGTTGGCGAGAGCTAAATATCAAGAAACAAGCAAGCAAGCAAACTTCTCCCACGATCCAGCTGCTTGCTAAACAAAGGCACAGGAAGAACGTGCAGCTGTGAGTGTGAAAAACGCTGCAGCTCAATGCACATTTGTCCGTTTTTACTACATTTCCTGTATGGCTCCTAAACCTGCTAGCCTTACTTCATATAACAGTCTGATGTCTTGCTATCGCATTTATTGCTTCGGCTTTGTGCCGAAACTGTGACTTTTTTTATAATAAATTTTTGGATATAACCAAGTTATTGCTGTGTCAGGCGCGACACTCGGTGGTTCTAATGAAGAAAAAAAAGTGCAAACCTAAGGGCTCATTTTTTTTTGTAAGACACATTGTTACTGCGAACTAAGAGAGAAGATCGGTTACAGTGTACACACTTAGACAAATCCAGCGCCACTTTGACATCTGACACAGATCGACCATGTCCATCCTCTACTTGCTGCTCAATAATTTTCATCGGCCAGAAAAGCGCTTGCCTGGCTGCGTCCATGCGCATGTCAAGTGGTCCCTGGCGTGTCAGTCCAAACCCTCGCTTGGGGTCATCCATCTGCATGGAGGAGCAGCCACAGTCGACCAGCGCCCCATCCAGGCTGCCCCGAGGCACCCCCTCCCGCTCCAGCAGGGGGCCCAGCTCACTGAAGCGGCCCAGCAGGGGCACCAGCTGTCCCGCACTGCAAGCACCGATCCTTACTTCCTGCACCCGACCACTCCTTACTAATCAAGCACTTATGACCATAGTTAGGCCACAGTCATATTCTGCACATTATTTTTTAGTACTGCTGTCTTCTGTATTTTTGCAACTTAGTTGCTCTTTATTGCTTGCCTACTTAGGGTATTGCAGCAATTTTGTATTTATTGAGATGTGCATTTATTTAGATATAGTACATCATCTCAGCTACCCCGTCATTGGATTTGTATGTATATATTCATAATAAATAGTAACTGTATCTCTGCTCCTGACATATATTAAAGGTCTCATGTAATAGATTGGACCTCTTACTAGCCACACAGTCTCATCTTCAAAGTACTATTAAAACCAATGTGTTGATTGATTGAACAGTCAGAGTAAAAGAGCAAAGAGTGTTGCTTCTTTCCAACCATTTCTTGCACTACATGACTGGACCTCATTAGAGGAAGTGTTGCACAAAGATTGCAAAAACACAGGAAACAGAAAGAGCACCAACTATCAACTGGTTTATTTGTTTTTGAAGCAGGTTATATAAGCATGTTCAATGTTACAAGGTTGAGAAGAAGAAAAACACACAAGTCATGGCCACCTCAACTCAAGCAAAAGCCCATGCAAAAAACCATCTTTTGTCTAGTACAGATAAACAGGAGTGCCACTTGCACAATGATCATTCACCTCCTTTAGTGAAGAAAGATTCTTATTGTCCATGCCCAACTCTAGTCCTGGTCTTCCGCAGGGCAAAAACTCGCATCCTGAGCACGTATTCCAGAGAGACTTTGTCTCTTCTGAATTGAAAAAGTCATGCTGACTGGCGACGCAGTGGTTGAGCCACCGGTCCCATGTGGGACCTTCCAATGCACCACTTTCGTGGCACATCAGCAAGCTGCAACCATTGTTCAGGGATTCCTTTCCGCCCATTCGAGAGCATAATCTAGCAAACCTGCTCAATGCCAAAAAAGCTGCACGGATGCATCACCTATCTGCCAATTTAACATGTTATAGCTGACCTCGTGCATATACGGAACAACAACAGAGTTATTTTATGACGGGCACTTCGTGTTACTAACATGTCTTCCTTTATTTTTTTTTAATCTTAACAAAATTGTCGGCCACTGGTGTGACTACCTAGCGCAAAAGTTGGCCCCGTTAAAGGGACACTGAAAAGGTTTTGAATTCGCGAAGTTGTTGAAAATTCAATATCCGCAACCTCTTACAACATGTGTTTAATTAAGGTGTTTTTATCAACATTGTAACCCCCCTGCTGCAGCCCCTTCAGGCTAAGCGGGGTAATCATTGAATAACGAATAAAAAAAGCTTAAGGAGGTTTTTTCCCACGAGGTTCGATTAAACAATGGTGCCATAAGCGAGCAAACCTTGCCTGCTCCGAAGTACGATACGGAGTGCATTAACAACGCTGTACTCTGACCTGTGAAATCCACGAACAGGTGATTTTTCTGCACGCTACATGCCTGCGCCTAGCGCGGACCGTGCCAATACTCTGTTAAAAGCGAGTGCCGATGCTGCTGTTTCTTATCAAATTTGATGTCCACAGATAAGCGTATCATTTGTAACACTTTACTACAGTGAAATTAGGCCCTGGCATGCATCGTATTTGTGCCAGTCTATGTTTCTGACTGGCGGCTGGTTGGAACTTTCTTTTCTGTGCCGCTTCAGTCATTGCCCTTGAAGTGGCGACCACCTCGAACATGTACAGATGTATAGCAAAATCAGTCCAACTTTCACAGTTCGCCGTACTTACAGCAACCACCTGATTTCAAGAGATAAATACGGCCTTGACTGCCGGCGAGCGCAGTCAGCTGTCCTCAACTTCCCGACAGTGATGTCATGGAGCTTCGACCAATTACAGCAGCGGCAAGACTCGCGATGGCGGCAGCAGTGCTTGTCGCTTGTTTTCGGCAAAATAAAGTAATTAGCGTTGGCTTATGCAAACTTTAAATTTTATTTCCGAGTTCACCGCACGGAATTATGTATCATGACACCATAATCTCGTTTCCTTAAGTGTTTCAGTGTCCCTTTAAGCCTGCTAATTTGAGTGTCGATACTTTCACACACTGTATGCTGACATTATTTAGTGGAATGAAGCTACAAACATGCAATCACCCTTTTTAAAATCTCTGAGTGTATAAAATAAAATGAAATGAGCCATTTCTACACTCTTGCTGCATATTTCCTGTAACCAAGCAGTCTTTCTATCTGCAAGGTAATATTTAAAAATTGAAATGAACCCTTAGACAGAATCTCGTGTGTAAATTTCATACCTTTGCCATAATGAAGGCTTAGAATACTGCTGACTGAATCTGTGCAAGTCATGGTGCTGTGTCGAGATAAGAGTATTGAAAGATCATCGATTCACGAGGTACTCAAGACACATTGATAAGGCAGCAAAGGAAATAAAGAGAAAGGTAAAAAGCAGCACTTTTGGTGGCCTGTACAAGATGGAAGTCCCTTTTCTGTGCAGGTTTTTTGTTAACATGAGGTAGCCATAAACTGTTCCTAATATTTCTTTAACGCCTTCCTTTGTGACATTTGAACATGCTTATACAGTAAAACCTCATTAATTCGAACAGAGTTATTTCGAAATCCCACTTCATTCAAAATGTTTGTGCAGTCTCGTATTTCAATATGTAAGTCTGCGTGGATAATTTGAAGCGGCGGTCAGCACCAGTTTGGTTAATTAGAAAACTTTTGGGACCATATGCCAATTTTTGTTCTCAATTTCCCCGCAAATCTGCAAAAAAAAAAAAGGCCTTTGAGAGCCACAAGACAATGCAACCTAGTGATGCTAATGAGTGGCAGCTGAAGCAATTCAGCCTCGCGACGTCCACCACAAAAAAAATAAAAAAGAAACGGCCTTGTGGTCAACAGAAATGTGCACCTGCTGAAAATGAGGCATGCTTCACTGCAACACAGGGTGAAGCGCAAGCAGCATATTGCATGTGTTTCACTACGTCAGCGCATCATGATTTACCCATTCATTCTGGGATTGTAAAGAAATTTAACAAAGTTCAGTTTTACTAAATGTATGCGAACCTCCAGTTGCCCAGCAATTTACACACTTGCATTGCTGGCAGAATTCTTGCCTGCAATGCCTACTGCAAAAACTAAGTTCAAAAGCTTCAATGATCATGTTTTCACGCCAAGACATATTGTGCTCAACATGTCGTGATAAGTTGCCCAGGCACGCATTTCAGTTGATCACGACAGCGTTTTATATATATTTTTTCCGGTGGCAGCAGCGAGGCCCGCCATTCTTCAGTGTTTGCGGCAAAATCAAAACTAGGTACATGCAAAAAAAAAAAAAAAAACGTAGCCCTTGGAGCCGCAAAGCAGCCGGCACAACAAACTATCAGCCCTGGTTACTTCGAATAATTGCAAGTTCCTCGCTTCCCACTTTTTTATATTTATTTTTTTAATACCTCAAGGGCCTCCGCAGTGCAGACATTACATGAGGGGTGGTACAAAAGATACTTTTGGTATGAGCATAGAAATGTGACATGATCTCCATGATACAAAAGAAATGTACAAACGTCGGGTGAAGAACTTGTACATAAATGTAAAATTCAACGGACACAGGGAAATAGTATCAATGTGCAATGTATGAGCTCGAAAATAGCAATCAGAAATGCGAGGGGCATCAAACAAAGAAACGGCACCAAGATATCACACCATCCCGGGTGCTGTAAGCGACGACTTGAACTGCTCAAGGTTTCTAAATTGGACCACGTGATCTGGAAGATGGTTCCATTCCTTTGCAGTGCGTATGAAAAATGACTGCGCAAATGCGTTAGTACAGGGCTAGGGTATGTTACTTGTAATTCATTTTTGCTGCGGCTCGATACAAGTTGTTTCAGGCACGATGTAAGTGTTGGGTGATAAAGAATGATAAAACCGGTGGAATAATGCCAGTCTCGAAAACTTCCGGCAGTGGCTGAGGGGAGGAAACGCTAAGCGTGATTTCACGGTCTGTGACACTAGTAAATGACGAGTAGTCCGAGAAAGTGAATCTAACGGCGCGGTTTTGAATTGCTTCAATGCTATCAATTAGGTACTTCTGATGTGGATCCCATATGGCGGCTGCATACTCTAGTTTTGGGCGGATTAGGGTTTTATAGGCCAGCAGTTTTAAGTGAAAAGGAGCAAATTTCATAGTAGGCTGCAGATACCCAAGAGATCTAGTAGCGCAGGCGATTAATTTGTTTATGTGGACGGTCCAGGAGAGATCATTCGCTATATGAACACCTAAGTACTTATAAGACTTTGCGGATTGTAAAGACGACCCTGATAGAGTGTAATTAAAGGATAACGGACTCGCACGTCGTGAAAAAGAAATTAATTTGCACTTGGAAACATTTAATGACATTTGCCAACTTTTACACCAGTTTTCAATAGTAGTTAGATTGGATTGCGATGTAAGTTGGTCTTGGTTACAAGTAGCTTTGGCATGCAGCACACAATCATCCGCAAAGAGACGTATCTTGTTAGTAATGCCGGAAGGCAGATCATTGATATAAATAAGAAACAGCAGCGGGCCTAGTACCGTACCTTGTGGCACGCCGGAAAGAACAGGGGTTGTATTAGAAATTTCTGTTAAGTCTTCTGTTAATTCCAAATTCACTTATTCAAAGATTTCTCGCGGCCCCAGTCACTTCAAATTAACGAGGTTTTAGTGTATAAGCTGCTTCAAGAACAAATGAACCAGCATTTACGTCTAATTTGTTTTTCCTGAACGGTAAGATGTGTCGCCCAACAAGAAATCCTTCCAAGACAACTGTAGCACAGTTTTGGGGTCCTTGGTAGACCCAATGATGGGCACTGGTGTACCAAAGAAAGACTGGCTTCAATTGCTTATCCAGGGTTGATGTACACTTTCGCACAGTGCAACTCGACGGCACTACTAGGGTTGTTTTCCTATCTAGTTTACATGCTTCTTTGTAGACCTTGTTTAGGGCATCTTGCAAGTAATTTCTTTCAACTAATGTTTCCTGTAGGTTGCTTAAGTGGTGACCGTATTTACCCTTCTTCATTACAGTATCTTTATATGCGCCTCGCTTGTCCGATGAAAATCCCTTGTTTGCCGGGTTACGGATGATGACTAGCATTATCTAGGTATTTTAGGCTGTCTGTCAGTTTTCAGTAAGGTGTCTTCTTTAATTTTGCTGCTTCAATAGATACTGTCGTGTCATGAAAGTTATAATTTCATTATGACAGTGATCAGTGAATGCATTAGGTGTGGTTGTACCATCTTCCCATATAAACAATATGTCGTCTACATAGCAGAGATAAGTGGAAGGTTTTACGGTAGATGATTTCAGCAGCTCCGATTCCAAGTGTCCCATCAAAACTTTGGCACAAACAGAGCTCCCACATTGCTGATAAAAGTTTACAGGTAGTAGGACGAACTAAATTTTTTAAAATGAAGCGTTTGAACTTATTTCAGTGGCAAAAGGTAAGCTTCAGTGTTATATATTTGTGTGCTTTCTGTGAGTGACTTTGAAACCTTTTCAATCTCTTTTGTGATAGGCATATTCGTATACAAGAAGCAGACATATATAAGGTTACTGGAATGGCCTGATCCGACAGTATTTATATTTTGTTAAAATGGAATGTACGTTTTTAGGAGCAAATGCAGTGTATCTTGAAAGAAAGATGATAGGGTAGATGGTGTAAATGTATGATTTAGAAACTTCTCATTTCTAAATCGTTATTTACCAATGAAAACTACACTCGTCATCAGTGAAAAACGGTCACACGTGGCTCCATTGACAATTATATTCGCTGTAGTTGTGTTTTTTGATGAAAGATGGCTGCACGTGTTCCTGTTTTTTCCAGCGAAAATTTCCTATTTGTGTGCATCGCCTTTTTTTTTGCATTGCCGCCTGTGATAATGTGCATGCACAATTTAAAAAAATTATAGAATGTTAATTCGTTGAAATAATGTTACCATTTTATTCAAAGAAAAAGCTAGACAAAGCAAACAAAAAAAATATTTTCACTCATCTTTTTTTTTTTACGAAAAAAGAATAAATGCCAGACAAAATTAGTGCCACCTTTGCTCCCTGTCCGAGTGATATCACACTGAGGCAGCAGGGACAAGCTTTGTGATGAGTGTTTTTAAAGACGAGGAATTGCGCACACACTCACGGGTACTGCTTGGCCATTTGCTGAGCCCTCATGTACGCTGTGGGGTCTCGGTCTAGGGCCAGTACTCGGACCCCCTTTGCGGCTGCCAGGATATGCTGGGTGTGGCCACCTGCTCCAAAGGTCAGGTCCACAAATGTCTGCACGAAGAGACAAGCGCTTTGTGGACATCACTGAATCTCTTGCCCAACAAACGTTGCCTTTGTTATTATTCTGAGAGGACAATCAGACAAGGCAAACAAAAGAGGCAAGACACACACGCTCGACACTTTATTGAAGCCAGGGGAACGAAATATATAAGGACGATGTGACCATTGATGATGCCAGTGCAGGAAGCATAATAAAGATGAGACACGATCAATGACCAATGACACAGCTAACCTAAGTCTTTGGATAATGAATGATTGTCAGCTTGTCAGGATAATATTGTCAGGATAATAGAACGATTGTCAGAAAGTCGATGTTACATAAAATTCCAAGGTAATAAAAAAACTAGCACCAGACACACCCAACTCAAATTGGTCTATGCTACTTCCAACGCATTTTAGCAATTGCGGACGGGGGAGGGAATAGCAAAAGTCAGTCACATCATGAGAAAGCTTTTAGCCCCTTGATTTTATGGGCATTACGATAAAGCCAAATAAAGCCTATCGGTGCTCCTAACTAAAAATGGGTCTCGAAATTCTAGAAGACCTGGTATGTCCAACAAAAATGCAGTGAGTTCCTTTTGCCCAATACCTATTTCCGAGACTATGACTTGGAAACGAGTGTGAACTTTGTGGGTTTTTGCTTTAAACAATATGTCCAGGCTATTCTTCTGACTTTTTTTAATACTTTTACGAGTTACAACAATGTTCGTGTTTTTGCACAACTGAATAGCCTTTGCTTTTACTTTGTTCAATGATACACCATCTTTCACATTGAATAAACTCAGTAAGATTTTGCAGAGTGGTGAATGTGCACAAAGTTGTAACAAACTGTTGCTCCAAAAAGCATGCATGACCATTTGTTGAATGGTGATCTGGTGCAGTGTGTGATTGTGGGAAAATTGTACACTAGGCAAAGAGGCCGTTGCCTGAACATTGCGTTGCGGGAGCATGCATGCACAATGAAGAACAAGACGGCCAGTAAACTTGCCCTACACTGCACTAAGTGCGAGTGTATGACACAGTTCAACAAATAACATCTAGAGTTTTATATCCCCAAACCAAGATATAATTATAAGAGACACTGTAGTGGAGGGCTCCAGTAATTTTGACCACCTGGCGTTTTTTAATAGTTCAACAAAACCAAAACACTAAAAAGATACAGGGACCCATGCCCCAAGGAGATCAATGAGGCCCACATGATCTGCATGCACGAGACATCTATTAATATGACTTGCTGACGAAAGAGCATGATTATCTAGACCTATGAATGTAATCTTCGTGCATGTGCTAGTAAAAGAGCTGTCATCTTATTGTTTTGTTCCTTTTGATTTTTTTTCGAGAGCCCATATTCAGTCGCAGCAAAACGAAAACTCGTTATTGTCAGCCAGCGCATATTTGTCCCTTGTAGGGCTGTTTATCTGAAGTTCTGAATGAAGATTCGACGAGGGCTACTTGGTACAGCACTGTTCTTTTACTGCACCACACTAAAACACGAGGGCAAACGAGAAGACAGAACACATATGTCCGCAAAAGGTAAACAGATGTTGCGATGGGAGCGCTGTACAGCAACACCACACAGTCTTTTGTTGACAAAACAAATGGGGCAGTGTGAATGCCTACCTGGTCTTGCTGAATGCCAAGGGATTCAATGACCTCGTGCAACATGACTGGAGTGTGGGAGTAGCCATTTTCAGAAGTGCATTGGTGCCGACAAGCCAGAACCTTGCTGCAACGTCTCTGTCAAAGGAATTGTCATAAACTTAAACAGTGCACAAAATTCACATGCCTTTTATATCGCTCAACCTATTACACCTATCACAAGTCAAGCACAATATGCACATAAGAACAAAACAATGCAAATGAGCACACATGCAGAGCGCATGCAGTTTGGTGCACTCTCCAAACAGATTACCATTGTCGAAGAAGTGGTTCAGCAGTGCACTTTTGATTGAAAATATAAGCATGAAAAAATTACTCAAGGTAAAATTGCAAGGTAACGCCAAGTGGCTCTTTGTGCAAAGGTTTCAATTTACATGAAATGGGTCAAGGCTGCCTAGATGGTTACCCTCTGCCATAGTTAGTGGGAAAAATAGGACTTGAAACAAACAGTTTAGCAGGACACAGAACTAGAGTATGATGTCAAATGTGCCTGGTTGACAGTGCATGTCTGGAGCCAAGGGCTAACGTAAGTGAAGAAATGCAAGAGAACTGACTGCTTGGCTAGTTCAATGAAGCCTGGAGCTTAAAAGAAAAGGAAGAGTATGTCACAGAACGAGCGCTAAAAATGAGTGCGCCGCCAAATTCGTGCGATAACGGGCGGGAGAAACGCCGCGAGGTCAAAAGAAAAAAAAACAAACATCTAAAGGCTCCCCGGGGCGCGCGCTCTCCCCTCGGAAGCGTGGCTTCGCCGACGAACCTCCTCGCCCCACATCGGCGGCCGAGATAGCCCGCGAAAGTTCTAGAACGAAAGGGGCGTGGTCATACAGAGTTGAGTCATCGGCCGCGGAGGGCATTCCAACCGTCTCGCCCTCTTCCCAGCCTTCGCTGCGTATCGCGCCGACGAAATGACGAGAACCGTCTGGAATGTCGCGCGCAAGGTATTTAACCCAGCAGCCGAGATGAGAGATCAGGAGAAGACGGAATTTAGCGCCAGAGTGCGTAGGGATCCTGCCGTGTAGTCGGCGAAGATTTTGTCCGTAGGGACGAAGCAGGAGATGAAGAGGATTTCCACCTGGGGGGTGAAGGCTCGAGCTACAGGCAAGAGCGTGTGTCTACCGCTATCGAGCGAGGACGCGTGGCAACAGCTGCGTGTGTGAAGCCGACGTGTTCGGGCGAAGAAGTTTGAAGCTTGGAGAGTGGCCAATTGAGACGCGAGGTTTCCTGGAAGAGAAACTTCGAGGGCGCGGAACGGCAACAACGCTGGACTTTGAGTGAGTGATTCTCGGAAGAGTATCAACCAGACTTTGGATCCAAGAACTTTGAACTGGATAGGTTTTCTATCTCTTTAGTCTTTAAGTGTCTTGGTCGTTCAATGCATGCGACTGCATTGTAGTGCGTATTGTTGTCTGTGTCCAGTTGGTTCGAGTGTGGCTGATTGTACTGTGTAGTACATTGTTTGATTGGTGACATATTGTCTCATCTATTGTCGAGTGTGCATACTTGTGTATCGTTTTCGATCTGCCATATTTGAGAATATATATCTGTTTTGTTTATCAAGCTCTCGGCTCTGACTTGTTCTTTGGGCCACAGCCGGCGTCCGCTGGTGCGCTAAATAGGACCACTTCTAAATTGTCCACGCTTTCGTGGTGCGGTTCGGGGGGCCCATACTTCGGCCCTTGGAATTAGCCCGGCGATCGCCTCCCGAATTAAAGGGACCGGTGTGACAGAGTATACATGCTGTCTTCGAAGTGTGATGACTTCATTGAACAAGGTACAGCTTCTTGTACTGTTAAAGTTTCTCAATATTGTTAGCAACCATGTGGCAGGTCACTAATTTCATAGGTTTAACTTTAAAAAATGTGAATCGAATAGGTCTACATAAATTCATGTTTTTTTATGTTGTGTTAAGTAAAAGGCAACAGGCACAAAAAGAGTCTTCCACATTTGCTGTCACGGCTACAAGCAGCCCTAACACTCTCAGTTCTAACTGCGCATACCCAAGTAATATTGCACTTGAAGTTGTAAAAAACTATGTCTACTTAGGACAGGTAATAACCGCGGAGCCGAACCACGAGACTGAAGTAACTAGAAGAATAAGAATGTGGTGGAGCACATTTGGCAAGCACTCTCAAATCATGACAGGTAGATTGCCACTATTCCTCACCTGCATCTTGCCGGTACTTAGCTACGGAGCAGAAACCTGGAGACATACAAAAGGGGTTCAGCTTAAATTGAGGACGACTGCAGCGAGCAATGGACAGGAAAATGGTAGGTGTAACCTTAAGTGACAAGAAGAGAGCAGAGGGGATTAAGGAACAAACTGGGGTTAAGGATATCATAGTTCAAATCAAGAACAGGTAATGGACATGGGCCGGGCATGTAGCACGCAGACAGGATAACCGCTGGTCATTAACGGTGACTAACTGAATTCCTAGAGAGGGCAAGCGGGTTAGGGGGAGACAGAAGGTTAGGTGGGCAAAGGAGATTAAGGAGTTTGCGGGTATAAATAGGCAGCAGCAAGCACAGGACCGAGTTGACTGGAGGAACATGAGAGAGGCCTTTGTCCTGCAGTGGACGAAGTCAGGCTGATGATGATGACCCAAGTAACTATAGCTGTCTATTATGAATACAAATGCCTGGCCATATAAATATCCAACACGGATAGCCAATGTACGTACTGTGTAAATCCATGTCCCGTGTGGCTGTTTTCTGGATGTGTGAAGTGGATGCCCGACCAGACATTTAGTTTTGAACGTTGACTGGCTGTCCATATAAGGACTTGCCAAGGATAGGTGTATTCGCTCATCAATTATAGTAAAATTTGAATGTAGTGAAAAAATATATAGATCTGCAAAATCACGGGTAACAATCTTGTGAAATTTCATTGAAAGTGCTACTATAAAATTTATTCCAATTTCAGCACACGCATTCGATCCCATGATGCCAAATAATTTTGCTTCCTGGGACAAACAGCATGGTTGATTCAATATACACATACAATACTATATGTATATTGTATGTCATAAGAAACAATGTATTTAGTGTTATTATTCGCATGTGAACTCAAAGAAGTGCAGATCGAGCGCATCATAGCATCCATCATGTAGACAAACTTTCACGCACCAGCCTTGACACTTCTCAACAAGCGGTGCACGGCAGTTGCTCAGATTCTTCGAAAGTACACGTCAAGCTGGCCGTGCCCTTCTATATGTAAAGTGCGAAAATGCGCGCCATTCTGCCTATTGTGCCGAAACCTGCTTGACCAGCGGCGCGCATTGAGGGAAGGTGCAAGGGAAAGGACGGTGTTGGTGTCGAATGGCGCGTATTTACACTGAGCTGGTCTCTGAGCGGCAGAAGGCACTTTTTTTCCAAGTGCACTCGTGTGGACATCAACAGCAACATGTGAAGTTATGAAAAATGACTTTTCTACAAGAAACATTGAAACGCAGCCCGCGCCCACCACTGTTCTCGTCAGAGATTACCGCAGCAAGCAGCAGCGACCCCGCTCACTCGCACGGCACAGATAAGGCCACGTGTTACATATATGTTCTTTACGTCTCATTTTTATTTTTATTTATGTTACCCTACAGGCCCCAGAGGAGCATTGAGTAGGGGGGTTACAGAAAAATCACAGTACATAAAGCATAAAAAAAAATATATCAAAGAAAACAAAGAAAATTGTACAATGGAAGGGAGAAGAACAAACACTATAAGCAAATGCAGCAATAATACAAAATGAAAAAAATAAAGCATCCTTTTATTCAAAATCAAGAGAACATATAAATTTGCAGTAGCTCACGAAATTTGGCCGGATCTCTCAAAGAAACAATTTCATCCGGAAGGCTATTTCAAACTGCGATGGCGCGTGGCAATGCAGAATTATTTAATGTCTGTGTGTTGCCGAAGATGCGTCTGAAACTGAGATAATTATGAAGTCGACTAGATGTACGCGAAGGAATGTCAAGCGATAGACGACTGGTCCACGAGTTGTAGTAGTACTTATGGAGGAGGCATAGACGGGTGACAGAGCGACGAGAATTCAAGTTAGTAAGGGCAATATCCCGTTTGATTTGGGTGATGCTGGAGTGGCGGTTATACATTGAAGTGATGAAGCGGGCTGCACGATTTTGGATGGATTCCATATTGGACATTTATCTGTTCTTATCACATGTTAATTATTGTCTATTATTTGTATAAGCCCTGCTAATACGTGGCATGTTTCCAGTTCATTTGCTCCCATATTTGCTGTTATTAACCGTTTTAAGACGAGCAAGTGGTCGGTGCCTGTACACCTTCTTTAGAAGCATGTGCTACACCCATTAGTTTTTCTCCTGTGCTTGTCTGTATGCATGTAATGCAGTTACTAGAATAACATTTCCATAAACACGCGCGAGTTGGCTTCGTTGCTAATAATTTATTAAATCTGCAAAGAAGTAATTGCTACCGCCAAATCATCGCACTTGAAGGTGGAAGGGCATTGAACACTGAAATCTAGAAACACTACGCACACACACGATCGCGGCTGTGAGTTATGTGTTTTTTAGCCTTTACATATGTTGATGATAAAGGTTCGATGGTTCTAGAAAGCACGCTTGGACTCCATTTTTTTTTTAGAATTCATTTGCTGCACAAAAGCTCCTGCGAAAAAAGGACGGGCGTCCGAGTGGGCTGCAAGGTACATTGTTCACATGAAAGGTTTTTTCGAATATGCGCTAGCTAAATACACACAATTATATATATATATATATATATATATATATATATAAGGAAAAGAAGTGAATACCTAAGGGCTCGTTTTTCCGTGTTTTGACACAATATTAATCAGATCTAACAGACAGTAATGCCAAAGAATGTACAGGGGAAGTTAATAGAACCAATGGAATGTAAATAAGAAGAAAGAAAAGTGGGTGAAAAAATAACCAGCCTTGAGCAGGAATCGAACCTACGACCTTCCAATAACGCGTTCGATGCTCTAACCACTGAGCTACCACAGCGGCCTTCCCTCCATCCACTTTGTTGGGTTTATATGTGAATTTAGAAGTAGGAGTGTCAGTCAGCACCATGTATAAGCCAAGCGA